CTTGGACCATATTGGACGTCCTGCCCGTTCGCGGCCCGCCCCCAAAAACCTCTGGGAGGGGATGGGGGAGGGTACCCGTCCCCGAAGAAAAAAACATGATTTTGGAGGAGGGGGCCCCTGTGTGCCAACACGAATGTGTATCCTCTTCCCTGCCCGACGTATGTGTGTGTGTGTGTGTGTGTCCATTTTGGGCTCAGGCTCTCGGCCGTTTCTGAATGTCGGTTGGGCGCGTGTGCGGGCCCACGGGCCTGCGCCCTGAATGCCGCGCCGCGGCCGCCCGCTATGCAGTCGCGCAGGAGGAGGAAGGCGGGGGGGTCGAGGCGGCGGACCGCGGAGGAGGGTCGAGAATGCGTGGCAGCGTTTTGTATGACCCTGCGGGACGGGAACCAGGCCGCCAGCCGGAGGATGGCAGAGAGATGTCGGGCAACCAGATTTTGATGAGCCATCGAAGAGGCAGCGGTGAGCGTTCACGATTGCCCTGGGCGGACCAAGCGGGAGGACGCCGCGGCGTGCCTCAGAGGGTGGCGACCAGCCAAGGAGCGGCCGAGGCCCCGCCGCCACGCGGTCCGTGCGACGGCGGGGACCCGCTTCGCTCGGAGGTGCCGCGCGGTCGTGGACGGAGGCCGTCGAGAGTAGGAGGCGCAGGAGGGGTCTGGGCGCAAGCCTCGCCGGGTCTTGCCGCTGAGGAGATGGGCGCGCCCTCGCCCGAGACGGCGCGGTCGCGCACGAACCAGGAGCGGGCGAAGGACGGCATCGCGGGCTGCGCGCACATCAACACGGCGAAGTCGCACGTGCGGACCTTTGAGCGCAGGCGGTCCTTCAGCGTGCACAGGGCCCCGTGGCACGCGACGACCGGGTACTTCGTACACTGCGCGAACATCTGGGCCCGCGGGCAGTGCGAGCCGACGCTGCCCAACCAGGCTCTTCGCGCCAGGGGGGGTGGACAGAGCGCGCGGCTGGCGCAGTCCAGAAAGACAGATTCTCCACTCGACCCGAGGACCGGCAGGTCGCCGCAGAGGTTGAGACGGTTCTCGGTGCGGGAAACGGTCAGAGGGGGGCAGTGCGGTTCCCCAGCGGGCTCAACGGGGCCCTGGCGCGGTGTCCCCTCGGGAAGGCGGGCGCGGGCGGGGGCAGCCGCGGGGCTCCACGCGACCCCGCGTTTTGAACTCCGCTCGCATGTTTACGCGCCGCCCCCCCCCCCCCGCCCCACCCCAACCCCAACCACAGCCGCGCGTGGTGCGCGCGGCGGCTCGGCGAAACCGCGCGGGGACAAGCGGGGCGTGCGGGCCGGCGTGCGCGGAGGCGAGATATACGGCAACAACGACGACACCCCCCGCAGAAGACACCGCGCCCCAGAAAGGGGGACGGCCCGTGGGACAGCGCGCAGACACCGACGAAGTACAGGCGGCCGAGTCAAAGCAGCTCAAGCTCACGAGACATGGGGACATGCACCCATTGCGTTGTGAGGTCGCCCCGCCTCGGCGCCTCTCGGCTTCCTGGCGCAGAAAGCCAAGGCGCGGGGCGGCCTCGGGGTGAACGGAATCGGCCTTCTCTTTGACGACACCACACAAACACCGCGGGCTCTCGGAGGCGAGGGCAGCGCGGGGCGCTGCAAGGCGCTGGCAGGCGATCGAACGAGATGCCATCTACGGGGGCGAGGAGGCAGCGGGCTTGGAGAGCCCAATCCCCGCTGCACTGGTCCCCTTGTTTGGGGAGGCCGCTCTCGGGGCCAGGCGGCTGAGCAGTGCCTCGCCGGCACGCGCGGGCACCTGCGAAGGAATGGCCCCCCTCCTGGGGCGCGGGCAAGGAAGACCACCCGAGCAGGATCCTGGCGACGAGGGGGGTTCCTCGATGCGCTCCCCGGCAGAAAGCCGTTCGAGGCCGATGGGGGTTCCACCCGAGGACGAACCTCAAGATGGCGGAGCCGACGGACAACCTGGGGGGGCGCCTAGGAACGAGCGGACGTTCGCGGCCTTCCTCTTTGAGCGCATGGAGGACGGGGTCCACTCAGGATGGCGCCGGGCCAAAAATGGCCACCGCGCAAGGAGAGCCAGGAGGCGGACGACCCCAGCAATGTCAAAAATACGGACTTCGACGAGTACCTTGGGATCCACGCAGTGGCCGCGGGCCGGAAGGGCAAGTGCGCTACATGATGAC